AGGGTCTGACTGCGAATTAAATATGGCAAATTATCCGCAAGGTTAGAGACTTTTAAAATGAATATTTGAGAAAATAAAGTTTGTTTTAATCGTTTATCATCACCCGAGGTCATCAAGAACACAAATACATTGATAACAATAGCACACTGACGCACAAAGAACTCATTATTCTCTCGCAATCACCTGTGTCTAATATATTGCCCGTCAATCATTTTTAAGTACAGCGGAAAGAAATTTGAAATATGCCATTGAATTTTCATCAAAATATCACTCGCCGCGGAAGGCGGTTGAATGCGTGTGCTATCTCATGCAAATTTCTGAGAGTTAAAGTCGAAAAACATCTGCTCAACATAGTGGCCCAAGCGAAACATTCAAACTGCACGCTGACGGGAATTTAAAACTCCAGCGCTCCCGGCATGGGCAGTTGACGTTCGTGGTATTAGTAAAGGCCGAAAAAAACTTACTTTGACTTCCAATATGTCTGAGAAAGGGACACTTCTGCAATCCAACGAAGAAGGACAAAACTATGGAGATTTATTCAATCCCGAAGAAGAAGCCATGGCGCCCGAACCGTTGGAAAGCGAACAGCCCAACGCGAAGCCAGCATTTTTCGATAGGATTCGTTCGACAGTTACTATCGACCGAAACCTTCTTGTATACAAGGTATTCTATTTCTTTTATTTCGCCGCTCTTGGAAGCCTCATACCGTACCTATCGCTGTATTTTAAACATTCTCTGCTACTGCCAGCTCATTTTGTTGGCATTATACTGGCTGTGAAACCACTGTGCCTGTTTGTCAGCGCGCCTATTCTGGGAACCATCGCAGACAAATTCAACAAGGTCAGATCGGTTCTGTTGGTTGCACTCTTCAGTTACATTGTCATGAATCTTCTAGTGGCTGTTGTCCCTCCTGTGACCGTGGATTGTCTGAGCGAAGTACACAACAAACTAAACATGACAGACGAAAATACAACTTCCTTTCATCGTCATGTCAGTTACAGCGGAAAACCCAGAAACGAACAAAATGGTTCGACAACTGGCAATACTGAGATGTGGCAAGAAGCCTGGCTTTTTGACCTTTACACCGAAATGGATCCGAAGATCTACAAGAATGCTAAATTGGTGTTTGTCGTTGTTTTGGTGATCACTATAGTCGGTGAACTGATTGGCGCTACGTCCAACACGCTAGCCGATGTGGCCACGTTTCAAAACCTGGAAAATCGTCCACAGTTTTACGGAGAACAGCGTTTGTGGGGTGAAGTGGGTTGGGGGCTGACGGCTTTCATCACCGGCTCTATAGTTCAGCATCAATACCGCAAACAAATAGACATATGCCCTGAAGACGTATTTGACATTTACCGTCCTTTCTTCTACGTGAATGCCATTCTGATGGCGGTTGCTCTTTTTGTCTCAACCCGTTTTAATTTTCAAGACGCAGACAAGTATGTCAATGAAAAATGTGCTCTGCTTAAAGGTCTGCAGATATTTACCAAGCTGGAATACTCTATCTTTGGTACCATGGCTCTTTTCCTTGGAGTCGCATTGGGATCAGCGGAAAGTTTTCTGTTTGTTCACTTGGTGGAGCTTGGCGCTACACCGTCGCTGTTCAGCGCATTGGTGGCAGTACATTGTATATCGAACATTGCACTATACTATGGTTCCATCTACTTCCTCGAAAGCTTCGGCCACATAAAGATGCTCACAATCGGTCTGTTGATTTACGCGTTGAGGTTTTACTATTTCTCCGCGATACAGAATCCCTGGCTCGTGCTACCGATCGAGTTTCTCCGTGGCCTGTGCTCGGCATCTGTGTGGTGCGCGCTGGCGTCCTATGTCGGCACCCCTCCCCGTGTTGGCGCCACCCTACAAGGTATCTTACACGGACTCTACTATGGTCTAGGTAGGGGTCTTGGGCAGCTGATAGGAGGCATCTTGATCCACAGCTACGGTACCGAGTCGTATTTTCGCTACTTTGCCCTGATTGATTTTCTGGTGATGATTGTTGTAGCGCTGCTGATTCCATTTCTGAGTTCACGCGCCACAATATGGATGACTCTCTCTGGTTATTCATCGCTAGGAAACAAAGAAGCTGAATGCTGCGCGGGAATCTACAAAGTACTTTGTCTACAGGGAAAGAAATCTAAAGAACAGGAATGAAAAAAATAGCACTCGAATATTATTATTATTTGTTCCCAGATAAACTGAAAAACAATCATTCTTTTCGTAAGTACCAGGAGAAAGAAGCTTTCTTCTTCACGTCAATTTAGCTATAAGCATTAGTGCGAAAATTGAAAAATATTTTATTTAAAGAAATGATATGTTTAAAAATGGTTTGATTTATTTTCTTAAAAGTTTCTATTTCCTTAAAATTTTAAATTACATTCTGGATTGCCGACCAAAAGGCAAGTAAAATCAATAATTCTTGTTTTCTAATCAATTTCATTTGCCCTAGGTGCTAACTTGCAGCAAAGTCCGTATTTGATTGAAGTTCCCGTGTGAATTATCTGTAAATAACGTGGGAAAATTACGTTTGAGTTTCGTTCTGTGGGGTTATTACAAGACATATTAAAGGATAATATAAGTAAGCCGCCTCACTAAATTCTCAAAAACAGATCTTTCAGTTTTCGCTTGTCGTGTAAGATAGTAAAATCCTCCATGTAACACAATGATTGGCAGCATGCTAGATAAACACAGTTTTTGGCCTCTTCTTGGCCTTCAGTGCAGTCGTATTTTAGCTATCACGATTCTCGCCGCGGAAAATTATTTTGAGGAAACGCCAGTTAATTCAAGGTAAGGACTTGAATATTCTAGGATATTGATCAAGAAGAAATGAAATGGCTTATACATCCAGTAGAAGTGTTCAGTATTGCTGTACTGACTCTGTCCTCTTGGTAAGAAGAGATGCTCAGTTCAAAGAGTAGACAACCTGGAAAGCGGTAGAATAGGCGATGTTAAAGACAAAAGGGGTTTTATTCTGGGAATAAACAAAACATTTCTGAAGTGTGTTGCATTTGAGTTTAATTTTTCAGTTGTAGCATTGGATGATGATTACATCGAGCCCTATGGCTGAGAATTTAACACGTAATTTTCTCTCGTCGAGAGACAAAGAGGGGAAAAAATGTCGATATTCAAGCTTAAACTGACGCCCGCTACTAGCAGATTGGAATTAGAAAACCAAATGATATCTACCAGCGTGTTTGTTCGCTCGGAGATATTTGCTCTTGTCTGCTATTCAACTGTCAGGTGTCCTGCTCTGAAATTAAGAGGATAATTTCACACTATTTAATTCTTCTTTCCATAAGCCCCTACTTTACTGCTGAGAATTCAGCTTGTTTTGTCGTTTGTACAGAGTGGATCCATATATTAGGAAGACCAGACCGTATTGTGCTTAAGGTTTTTTTTTGGTTTCTTAGCTATGCCAGTTTCATCGGGATATTACTAAAACTTGAGTGATATTGATCTTTACTGAAATAGTATCGTGGATCGCCTCGTCTTTAAGATTGGCCTGTCTCTCTTGTAGTGACCAAATGAAAACTGGTGAGACATCATATCAAAATCCTTGTCCTTCCTCTATGACGCGGCAATAAGACGCCTTTCAGTCGTCTAAGTCTTGGAAATGAGTCCACGGAATATCGCATTTTTGTTCTTCTCCATTAGCAAGATGATTTGTTTGACACCAACCTGAGCGTCTTGGCATATTTACCAACATTTATGTGGCAGGTGTTTCACCTGATCGTCAGTTCTCTGATTATTTATCTTAAGCATATTTTCGTGTCGTATAACCAGGGTTAAACGAGAGCTTATATTCCAAAGCTATAAGAAAGGTGTCTCAATTACTGAGAAAAAACGTGAAAAATATCAGTACGATGAAAAAATTTGGTAGAAAGGTATGCTAAAACACGGTTGCCATGTCAACATAGGAACAGTGGAATTAGCGGCCGTCACATTAAAATGTTTCCGTGTGATAGGTTATCTCAATCTCAGGAGGGAGGAGATGGGTGGGTTCACCTTCCTATCTACCCTTCCCTCGTGTTCCTTCAAAATTTAAGCGGCATAATTAGGTCCTTATATTCAAAATCTTATGATTTCCTTGAAAGGCGTTGTTTTGATTAACGTGTATTGTTTACTCAGGGCTGTGGATTTACGGCACTATGAACAGAAGTAGGATAATGAGTAAGTTTTCAAATAACTAGGTAGCTTGTGAACAGACTCCCATCACGGTTGGAAGGGCCGAGAGTGAAGTGGCTGACAGTGAAGCGACCGATGGTTGTTGTCCCTTCTCTCTCTCTCTCTCTCTCTCTCTCTCTCTCTCTCTCTCTTCTCCCCTTTCCTCTCTCTCTCTCTTCTCCCTGTTCACAGGCTACAAACTACGCAACGTTTTTCTAATTTATTTTTACCCTTTTTTTGTGCTCTGAGCCGAGAGCAGACTCTGGGAAGAGACATTAGAATTCTTTAGCTAAGGTACAAAACCTCCGTGTACTTGACTCTTTTTATGCTTAACTCTGATCAAGATCATGCCCAGGTCAGTTCGCTCCCAAGACAGACCTGAGACTTGAGCAGCAGGCGAAACACCAAACCACCCACTCCACTCCACCCCACCCCATCTGCGGCGTGATGCACAAACCTGGCCGTTTCCAAATACAAACAGATTAGAGATTCAAGGAAATTATAGTCATGTCACAAAAGTTTAGCAAAAAAGGGGAATCCTTTATTGCAAGTTACAAGCAATGTTAACATTCTAATAAGAAAGATATTTGTAAATATATACATGATATACTGTAGAGAAGCTTGAGTGATCGAGTCCCTAACTATTTTGATAACCCAAGCAATTCTCCGTTGCCAGCAACATAAGAAGTAACAGTATATACAATGCTTAAAACAATCTAATAATATGAGCTATTACTAGTGTATGAGATGTTTTCATGATCAAAACTATGTAATTGTAAATCAATTCTGAAAACCCCGATTGGGCTGAATTAATCAAATGTTTATAAAAAGTTTCGCGAGCACGTTCGTAATTTCCTCAGTCGTTTGATAAAAGAGTATAACGGCAAGCGCAAGTTTAAAGAATTTTCAAACATACAAATAGTGTAAATCCTTAATTGTTCAAGCTTTTATACAATTACCTCTACGGGGCTTCGAAACATCACAAAAATAACTAGTACATCCCAGAAAGATGCTTCGGCGTCGAGCTAATGAAGGAGCTTAGCTAAACATATCGACTCCTGCAGTCCGAACTCGAACTAAAAACAATCAAATAAATATTTGTTACTGCTAATAGTTTTTCTTTTTTGCTGAATTAAATCTTGGCCCAATTAACGATAACGCGGTTTCTACATTCTTACCAAGTCTAAAGTCGATTTACACATTCTTACTTAATGTGAAAACTATTAACAGTTAGGAACACGCATACACAATCTAACGCGTAGCAATACTACTTGCAGGACAGGAGAAAATTTCACGCAACATAGAATTCGAAATAAACCTAAACAAACTTAAATTTATCACAAACTTCTTTGAAATAAATAGCTTTAATTTGGGAGCTTTTAAGGAGAGATAATCTGGCTATTTCGAAGATAATGGTCCGAAGGGGGGAACAAATCACTACTTTCAGGGACCGCGGTGGGGGAGGGGCTGCTTTTTGCCTGGATTGATATTTTAAGGCGCGCAAATGCATGATAAATGACGGAGCAGTGATCCCTAGTGCATGTTTGTCTTAGCCAGATATTTTAGCCCTACCACATTAACATAGTCTCCGCGGTCCCTGACTTATTAGCGATTTCTTTCAGCAATTTTAGGAGCCCACGGTTGTTGATGTTTTGTTTTTTTTTTTTGGTTGAAAAAGGCGGAATTGAACCTCAAATGCGCCCAATATATCAGTTGTAAATGGCTTCTTTTTTAATGCGGAAAATCTTTAACAAAATCATGTTACAGGTGCTACGATATAGCTCCTAACCCTGCACGGCACCCTGCACTCATTCACTGCTACTTTCGCTGATTTTCCTCATCTCTGCGAGAACTTCGGCCTTTTCTTCCTCCAGGGAGATTTCTTTGGATTGAGGACGGAGATTCCTGCAAGCATCTCCGTCAGCTGAAAGTTAAAGCAGTTCATGAGATGATATGAGACGACACGAGTTACCCTCTGCATAGATGCACGTGTGGTGATTTACTCACTGAAACTGAACTACGGTGAAGACAATAAAGCCATACAACTCTCCTCAAAGCTGTATGGACTCCACCTTATTTATCTTTTATTTGCCATTTGTAACTTCAAAACATTTTTCTTGTCGCTCATGTTGTTACCCACTTCCCCAGAAGAGAAGTACAACCCCACTTCTTCCAACCCCGCCCATAAGTTATGCCTGGTGCAACAATGGTACCAGGTTACTGTACACTTCATGCATGTGTTTTGTTTTGGTGGATAGCTGCCCTCTTTTTCAATAATCAACAATTGGCGAACGCTAAAGGATGAATTAAAGAAAGTTCATATCACGGAGAGAGAAACGTTGAGCATAGCAAAGGGAGATAAGCAGTGTTTTTCCACACTTTTGTTGCAATGAAGCAAGGAATCATAAAAGTAATTTTAATAACATAAATCAGGAGCAAATTCAGTTACCTTTGAGCAGTTGTTGCCTGAATCCCATATGCCTAGCGTTATTCAGATTACATTTCTCCATCATCAAGTCCATGTCATCGTCTTCGTCATCCATTTCCTTCTCCAGCATTTTCAACTTCTCAAAGCGCACCTCCTGCATACCAGGGTCATTCCGTCGGTTCAGGGAGTTTTTCTTGCTGGGATTGATGATTCTGATTGGTCTACCGTTTAATGCTGGCTCGGCGGCGCGGGTTCGTCGACTTCGACGACGCCAGACCAACACGGCTAGAACACACAACAGTAACGCTGCTATCACTCCTGCGGCGGCCAGACTACATATCATGACTACATCCCAGCTCTTGTCTGAGGGATTATCGTTACTGGACTCTGTGGAAGAAAAGTTGCAGATTACAAATAAAGATTTGGACATTTTCACAGCGGCCATACTAAGCAGAAGAGCAGAATTAGCTTCCCAAATGAGAGAAAATTCTTTGTTTGCCTCCGAGGCATAGCGAGTGTGAAAACGCTTTATTAATAAATCATTGATTATCCGAGAAAATGAAGTGATTCAATATGCACATAAAGAATAAAAACGGTCTAGGCAAACTATCAGTGCAGTCCCTGAACTCTCCCTCACTCACTCACTCACTCACTGCCCTTACCTTCGACAACTACTCCGTTTGTTGTATTAACCATGTAAATGCTGTTGTTGGCTGTTGTGGGTGGAACTGTTATGTTGGTATGTCCTTTTTCAGGAATGTCATTGGGAGATATTTCAACTGAGAAATTAAGACAACCGTAAAAAATCAACATATCGCCAGCACGGAGAAAACTAGACCTCCAATTGTCTTCACAAATCAATTGCACCTGGAAAAGGGATGAAGAACGAAATTCAAACAAATTACCTGATTCGAATTCCACTTCGCTTATCAGCACCCACCAGCCATAGTAGAGAAAATCACACGTCACGTATTTGCCAATGTTTCCATCGAGGTTCACCTTAATCCAAAACGCTCTGTTGCTCATTGCCGTTCTCTTGGCCATACTAGGTTCAAAAATAGTCTTCCAAGCAAAATACTCGCCATCCCTGGAGAAGGAAAGGACGACCTTGCTGAACAACATTTTCTCGTGATGGCCCGGTAGGTTGAGGACGTGGAAACGGATACAGGAGAATTTCCGAAGAGACGAGAATTCAAACGTGACAGTTGGGTCAGCGGTCAAGGAGTCCTGCCAGCCAATCCAGTCAATCCAGTTTAAATTACCAGTGTCATTCCAATCCGCACTGCGGCCGATCACTCCATCAGTTAACTGACCCAGTCCGCGGTAAAGTACTCCGACCTTCGTCCCAAAGGACAGCCTTGTGCCGTCGTAGCCGTTATCTCGTAAAGATTTCCACCCGGGCATATTCTTTCGGAGATTTCCCTGGGAGATACGGTACGATATCAAGCCGTCTGAAGAGATGAAGAGATTTTACTCATTAGAAAAGTAACACTTACATGACGGAGGGAGAATCGTCAAATGTCCGGTTACCACACTGATAGGAGTAGTACATGATGGAGGAAGTCGCTTATTAGTATGCAAGAAACTAAATTAGTATGCACGAAAACTACATTAGTACGCGAGAAAACTACATTAGTATGCAGGAAGTCCTAAACGATGTTAATTCCATCCCACAAGCAATATGAAATGCGTCTACCTCGACAGATGATAAAAAGACACTCTCAGGCCACCTTTGCCTGACGAAAACTTTCTATCAAAGACAGCTTTAACTTTTATTAATCCTCGGCAAAGTTGGTAACCGAAGCAGTGACACAAATGGGCTGTCAAGTCTGAATCGTCTTTCAAAGGTTCATACAAAGGGCTGGCAGTCTAAGAACCTCAATATTAAGGTAAATAAAGCGCAGCAGTGAGTTTGTGAAGCTTAAGTTTTCATCTTAGGTGTTCGACAAATTGCTGTTAGAAACTGAGCCTAACGCTCGAAAAATCACCTTTACCAACTCGCTTCGGTGTTTAATTTACCTTGAGATCAACAATAAGTTCATAGATAGACTTAAATAGATAGTCTTTCAACTGCGCACAGACGAAGCTTACAGAGATTTTTTTGTTTCAGTGCCATATCATAACACAGCTTAAAATAAGAACAAGATTTTATTTATGAGAAAATAGCGAGACATCTCTTAGCGGGCGACTTGTTCCCCATTTAACGTCAACCGGACGTTTAACGGTGAGGTCAGGTCAGACCTCCTTTCCCCCACCCTCCCCCTCCTTAACGTCCACTAGGAATTTTGCTACCTCAAGAGTAACCGCACTACGTCGCTACAGCTTACGTCACTGAGATTTGAAGATGAAAAGCTATTTTTTTTTGCTTTTTAGATGAACAGGAAACTTTCAATATATCAGTGATACATTCTCCTACCTGTTTTGTTGAAACATCTGCGTAACTACTTTTATCGCAAAGTTTACGTTTTGATTTCAGTAGTACTGTATTCAGAACAGAGGAGAGAACCAAAATCGGTACAAGGCCGCTCGATGTTTTTAAATTTCTTTTTCAACTTCGTCTCGACCGCACGTTGGATAATTTTGCGTTTGGTCAGAACTCCCTCTCTCCCCGTAAACGTTAGTTGACGTTAAGCGGGGAACGAGTGAATGTGTGGAAGGCTCCTTACCATGTTTAGTCCAAGAACAGCCGTGTATTTCCACCTTAAGACACCATCTGTCTCCTATTCCTTTGTCAAACACCAGCCGCACGTGGCGTGCAATACGAGGAGTCTGTAAGTGATGCTTGTGAAGCCCGGAACCATTAACCGCAATAATCTAACATAAAATAAGAAAATATCTAACGTGAACTTGCACGAGTGATAACGCCTGTTTCCGCCTCACAATATTAACATAATGTTTGTAGTTTTTCAGTTTTTCAGAACTGACTGACTGATAAGAAGAATAGAATGAACTTGAATAACTGAGGTGGTCCCAATCAATTCTTACCGTCAGTGACACGTCGTTTCTGTGGTATCGCCTCCATGTCTTGTCACCGTCTCGTTTGTAGGCAAGGAAATACTGTGACACGTACATGAAGCTGTAGTTCCCAGTTGACGCGTTCTTTACCCGTACTCCAATGGTGGACAAGGCTGTAACGCGCATGTCGTGACCCAAGTCAACCTGTACGTAGCAGAATGTCACTTATTATTATGACTGATCTTTTAACAAAGCGTAAAAGTGTAAAAGTTCAAGTTTTGAAGGGTCTCTTTTGAGGGCTTTGAGCCTCTTAACTCTGAATGACCGCTACAAAAACATGCAAAAACCGAAACCGCGAGCTAAATTTATTATTTTCCGCAACCGCACGATTTTCTCTTAACCGTAAACCGGCAGATAAATATGAATGTACCGCAAACCGGCACTCAAAATTAGCTTAAGAGTTTAACAGTTTTGGGTCTATTATACTCTGGTGGTTTGGCGGTTTGGTTGGAAAGGAGAGTATGAAAATTCAGCGGTAGAGTCAGTTCTCATTCAGGTTTGCTGATATTCAATATAGAGTTACTTTGTACATTCTACTTTAGACTTGAGTGAGACCGTTTGCTAATTCGTTCATAAAAATGATTCGAAAGGGTAACCTTTCCTTTCGTTTTGCTTTCTGAAAATTCAGTCTCAACAAGTGGTAGGTACAGCACATCTGAATGATTACCTCTCCATTTTCAGATTTTCGTTATAGAAAACTCTAACGGAAAAGAAAGTGATTAGTTTCCGAAGCCAAGCGTTAACCTCCTTAGTGAATTTGGAAAAAACCCCGACGTTTCCAGGGTTAGAAAGAAAATATATAAGCCTCGGAGAGAGGTGCATAGGACTTCGTTATCTTACATAATTGACGTGCCCCACGTATGTTGAATTCTTGGAAAAAAGGCGGGCATAAAGATGAAAAACCTTGGTTCGCCTGGCCTCGGGGTGGAGTCACAAGGTCAATTTTTATGTCAAGAGAAAACAAAACTATAAATCAAGCCGTCACCTCTATGAACGCTTTCTCTTCTTTAGCAGTTGAAGAACACCATCCAACAGTGTCTGGAGAATTGTTCATGCGCCCGCAATGAGCAGCGAACGTGCTGCGGTCTGATGTAGAGGAAGCAGTCCATCTGTTGTCTGGGAGAGACAAGCCGAGTGGAGAATCACATTTTTCTGTTGAGTAAACAAAGTTAAAATCAATGTGGTGTAGAGGGAGTGCAACAGACCGCACAGAAAACTGAAAAGTACCTGTAGAGCTTTTAGCGCAATGACCGAAAGCTAAACAGGAAACGTACCTGATTGGTCTTCACTCGTCGTAACTCCTGAAAAAACTAGCAGGAGAGAAAAGAGCTTCAAAACTGTTTCCTTCATGCTGTTTGATATATCGGTCTTCCTGAAAAGTGTGAGAAATTTCTGAGGTTAAAAAAGTAACTTACTCGACTCTTTTATCTTTACCAACATTTCCATTTCTGTTAATGTTGGCAGGAGCTGTGTGTCCATATCGAGGGGCTTCACTCAAATCAACTTTTTTTTCGCGAGCGAGGCTATTGTTTTGTTCGAATTTTTTTTTCTCTTTTTGGTTAACCATCTGTAAAGGAAACTTTTAACTTAAGGAACTGCTGAAAGCTGGTGTAACGGACTTCAGCTGCATCACAACTCCGACCTTGTTACCTTTCCTTTATATCCCAAGGGACGCTTATCAAGCGATTTTCCTCTGAATTTCTTAAGTATAAAATCTTGCTGAAGTTCAATGCAGTTGATGTTCGAGAGAACTTTGTAACTGTCGATATGATGTGAACCCCGCAATATATAAACTGGAACAAACATCATCATCGTCATTACTGGCATTCCTTCATAATCCAATACTTCTCAGTTACAAATCAGATAATAGTCTTCTTCCAGCGGGGGGCAAGAAGAAAATAAACGTTTTTACAACTGGTCACAACTGGTGCATATGCATGTGTAAGGTGTGGGTTCGTAGCAGAAGTGAAATGTCCACTAAAAACATATAGGAGTAGGTTTTTGTTTAATTCAACTAATAGCACACTGGCTTTCTGGAAGATTTTATCACCAAGGAAAATCGGGAAATTCATTTAAAATATTAAGTATCAAATTTATAAATCTGGACTTGCAAACCGTGCCTGAATCCAGCATTCTTTTGATTAATTAGAAAAGCTTTGGACGTGCAGTTATACATGTAATACTTTGTAGGATTCCCCCGTCACTTGCGATATATGTATACGGTCCAAAAAGAGTTAAAAGAAAGAAAACAAACATAAATCGCCTCAGATGTAAAAATACAGGCTGACTGGGCTGATCAGTCCAGAAGTGTTTCAAGAGTAAGTATATCCTTATGGCTGATGTGGGCGTGTCGAGAAGGAAGAATCTGTTTGTAATTTTCGCTAACACATTTCTCTCTTTTTGGTATTTTCTGAATACAGTGAGCTCGATTGTTAATATCATAAAGTATATGCTACTACTTGCCTCTATTGGCGTTTGCTATCTCCGAATAGTACAGTTTTTGTAACACAGCATGGTAATGTGAGAAAGCTATACGAGAAGATATATTGTAACCTTCAACGTGTAACAATTCAAACAATTTATGACCATTTATAAATCCGTCAACAGAACGGAGACAGGCAAGCGATAGGCAGTCATGCTGCGGAGCAAGCGACCTTCTCCCAATCTCTCCAACTTGTTCTCGCTCCAATTCTGTTTAGCCAAGGAGAATGTCTGACGCTCCATGGAAGAGTAATGGTTAAATTTCCCCTGACGTCACCTTGAATTCGCGCCCTGAATTTACTCGCGCACTAAAAGCTTGGTACGTGGACTTTCGTCTTTTACGATCTTAGGCATTTACTTTCAAGATTTTTTAGTTTGGTGGAATAATTCCTATTTGGCGCATTATTTTAATGCAAGTCATTTACGAAATTTTAACTGAGGTAAATTACAGTAAAATCTGCAACGATAAGAGTTCGTTATTCTTCCAATGAAATTTTTGAATTTTCAAGTGGGCCATTAACAGGGAGCATAAATGATGACTTTTCCAACTTCAGAAAGTTGGTTACAATTAAAGAAACTGGATTTAGTGACCCTATTTTCAAGACGTATGGGACAAGTCTTCAGTCAACAACAACAACAGAAACAAAACAACAATAGAAATGGATAAGCTGCAAAGACTTTGGCTAAATTTGATCTTTAGAGTTCTCTGCCAAGTTATTAAGATGATTATATAGCAATTACAGCAATTGCTTTATAGCAGGTGTCACTGAAAAGAACATTCATGTGAAGGTGAATTAATCAACATGACACGAGCGTGGGACAAAGAAAAATTCTGAGTCCCCGACAGGAATCGAACCCATGACCTCCCGAACACCGGNTGTTAATCGGCGAGCAGTAGTTTTACGCTAATACGTACATAGGGCAACGCTTAAATTGCGTCAAGACAGTTTATTCTTCGTTTAGTAACAAGTTGAAGCACTTTCTCAGTCAAATCATTGTGCATCAGTTGTTTTTCAAACTAATCTTCCGACGATGACGTCACATTGCGGTCTTATATGTGCGGGCACGCACGACGAGTATTGACGATGACGTCACATCAGCTACCATGAGATTGCCTCTACATTAGCAGCCAGCAGAATTTACTGCTCGGCTCGTACGAGAAAAGCCTAAAAAGTGAACATACCCATGTATCCCCAAAGCAGCAAACATCCTTAATGGCGCCCGCGCATGAACATGGTGGGCTGTTGACAGTTTTTGTCTGAACTCCTAGAGGCCATTGTCTGTCAAGACAAGACAGTCCCTTTTGTGTTCATGTCTACTGTATGCGAGCATCATTGAGAAGAAGACTTGACAAACTGAGATTATAGCGATTAACCTACGGTTAACACAGGAAACTATTAAGACGCAAAAATCTGTAGCGACGTCTTGACGGCAGGGCCGGCGAGTTTTCTCTTTTAAGAAACTCGTAAGCCTCCAACATCTGTGACGGAAGGTCCTCGTAAATATTTTATGTTTTCTCGCCAAATAATCATTGCTGTTTCTAAGAGTTCGGAAAGTCAACTTTCTCTGAACAAGAAGCAGCTATTCTAAATCAATATTAAAACACGGCATATAACAGAGCTTCTAGAGTTTGTACTGATACAGTATTTAAAGACAGTATTGTCCACATTTGGTCATACCTTCTACAGTTTCCCAGGCCTTAAAATTACTCACTATTTGGTTTCTATGTTACCTGACGTGAATCCTAGTGCAGTGGTTACTCTTTTGTTGGTCGTTTTCTCTGGGTGTCTTTTCAGGTGAGAAGTGAAAGTGTCCGACAAAGGAGCAATTTATAATAACAACTTCAGGCTCATCATTCATTGAGTTGATATTCGAATTGCAATATTTGCAAAGTAAATATCGATCAAAACTAAATTAAAAAAGAAAACAGCTGTTAAAACGTAAAAAATGCCAAAAACTCCTTTTATAAACACCATTCCAAATAAATAGGATTGCTCTCGTCCAGTTAGACCATAACAAGACTTACTGAAAATAGATTTAACGCTGAAATCTTTTTACCCAATACACGCCATACCTGCTGTTGGCATGAATATACAAGCAAAATATTTGTAGAACCGCTTTCTCTCTTAATACGATTTGCTGCTGAAATACACCGCAGCCTTTTCAATTATGCTAGTCTTTGTTCCCATTAATCCAGAAATGTGATAATCCTTGCTCCTCATCACCAGCTCTCACGCGGCCCAGCACAAGCTTCCCCATTATGTATCATAGAATAATGGCGCCAAGTTTGACAAGATTCTGGCATTTGTGACAGGATGTTTTGGCTCTACTTCAAAGCCACTTGAATAAGATCAAGTAGGAGAAGCTCTCCGACACAATACGATTGTCATATCGCCTTAAAATAGAACTTAACAGGAATATTCACTTTTGATTTTTGCTTTTTCAAGTTAGATTAAAATTCTTTTCGATTTAACCCTTGGTAAGACTGTCATCATGAAAATAAAAGTAAATGTTGATTTAGTATCGAATACAAGAGAAAGAAAAGAGGAAAAAATACTTTCCCAAAATAACTGAAAGGTAATATTTCTTTACGAAAACCACAAAGACGCAAAATATGACCATATATTTCCTTTTACCGGCAGGGCACTTTCAGAAAATAACAAGGTCAATGCATAAAAAACTCTGCAGCCTCCAAGATTTAAAAAGTTTCGGCCTTTGGTATCATGGAAGTTAAAACGCAAACTTTGATTTCATTGTTTGGCCGCGGCAGCTCTCTCTCTCTCTCTCCGATTGTTTCTTTTTGTCTTTACTCTCTTTAATTAATCCTCTTAACACCTTGAAATGTCCGGAACTCTTTCTTGGGCGGCCTAAGCTAGGTCTTTCAGTGCGTACAGACTTTTGAAAAACACTAAAAGAGATTCTTTGAATTGCTTTAGAAGAAAAAAACTGAGAGTGTAGTACGCAAATTGCCGTGCAGTCTCACTGTTTGTGAGTCGAAGGTAGGATCACTTTTAGTTGAAAGGCTATCGTTTCTATCAACAAACTGCATATTACACCTATTGGCATTTTGCCTTGAATGCCGTAAGCATGTAATGGGATTTTTTCCTGTAATTCAATCAAGCTTTTCTCCCCTCATCATTGAACTGTTAGCAAGAAAACCATAAATAAATAGCTGTTACGCGATAGCCCTTCATCACAGATCTCCCCCCTCCCCCCCCCCGAAAAAAAAGGTGCCCTTCGTTAATGAGGAGTTCAACACACATTTCTCTTTTAACGTGTAACGGGGGGACCCGGACAGTCGGCCAACTGACTACACCGTCGTAAATTCCCCAATGTTTCAACCTCACGTACGAGCAATTTCTTTGAATTAAACTCTTCAACATGCTGATACTCACTGACTCTTCACTTAATGAGGAAAACATTAACTTCCTCCCCTGGTGAGATAATTTTTAAGCGATCAGTCAATAGATCAGCAACAAATCAGCAGTAAAAAGTGTTCCCCCGGGTCTTACGTAACAACACTGGAAATTTTCCAACATGTTAAACCGGAGGTTGAACACACAAGGATGGTGACATTTCCGATCGAATAACAACCACTTCCTATTTTGAAGATGCGTCAGCGCAGTTCTCACCAAAATGCTTTCTTTTAGCTGCGTGCATACATATACATTTTGCCTCTTTATTTTAGTTTCTGGCACCATTGGCCTGATTCTGAATGACACATGTCAAGAAAATGTCCACAGTTGGGTTTCACTAAAGAATTGTTTGCACTCCATAAGAGACCCAAAATAGGCGGCAACAAGTGAAATACATAAACCGCAAACATAGGCAAGCTACAGCTATTAAAATATACTATTTTACAATCTAAATACATTTTATACTGTTAAATGT